TCCGAACGAGAACAGTTGATCAATGGAAGAATTTGCTTCCGAGTTGTGGGTGCCCCATTGCTGGAAGTTTTCAAGAAAACAATGGGGAGCCCTCTGTCCGTGATGATAGGACTCCTACCTTGCAGGGGGTTGGGATATAAGACCTCCAAGGTCCCTTCCAGCCTTATCATTCTATGATTCTATGAGTGAGATACCCCAATGATCTTGAAAGCAGAGACCTGTTTATCTTCTGGGTTCCATGTTTCCTTCCATAACGTTGTCCACCTTAGGGAGAAGCTGCCATCGCTTTTGATAACGGTGCTTAGCAAAATGCAGCTAAAAAAATTTCGCGGGAAGGGTGGGAGGGGGGGAAAGCCTACATCCAATCAAGATGATTAATCTCACGCGCTTTTTAAAAAAAGACCCTGTAAATTAAAAACTGAAGGGCTATGATACCTGCGACAATTTAACTCCACTGCAAAATTATTCCCCGTTTCCCTTATTGTTGAGAGGTAAATGGAACTCTAACCAGCCTTCCCACACACTGTGCATTTCAAATTGTTAGCGGAATAATCACTGTAATTGTGTGTGTACGTGCAAGGGTGCGTTCCCGCCTCTAGCTGGCCGTCTCCCACTGTACAGGCTTTCCGTAAGGAGCCTTAGTCGTCCACGGTCCCTGGCGCCATCCTAAGCCTGATTTTGCTCCCTTCGCTTAAGAGAGGGAAACATTTATCCAAATCTCGTTTGGGAAAACGGTTTGAATGTCTAAAAGCATTGGAAGCAAAAGCTGGGGGGTTTTTTGGGGGGCGAAGGGAGAAAGAAACAAGAATCCCGCTTTATTACATAACCGAGCCAGGAAGGAGTTAAAAAAAAAGAAAAAAGAGGAAAGCTGTCTGGTTGCTATGGTGCCCTTTTCTTTTAAAGAAGAGCAGAGTTGATTACAACATTAGAAACCAGAGGAGCCCCCAGCCCCTCCCGAAAGGGGAATAATGGAAGCAAAAGGGAGGGAGGGAGGGAGGAAGGCAGACATCACACACTCTTTTAGTTCTGACAGCTGGACCAAAAGGAAGAATGTACGGTCCGGTCCGTTAGTGCTCCTGGCTAAGAACAAAGCATGCTTGCTAACTTCAAGCATCTCGTTCTTTGGTTCTTTCCGGGATGGCTGGCCTAATTTGCCAACCTTCTCAGCAGTTAACGCTTGACTCGGCCAGGCTGGGAAGTGATAACACTTTGGGGATGCAGGCTGTTTTAAGATTGACTTGCTGTCCCAGGTTGTGACTCCTTTGCAGCAGAAATTTTGGGATGTTCCAATGCTGCTCATTGGGTTTGCAGGAGACAAGCCAACAGCTAGTATCCTTCTGAAGCAGCAGTTACTATCTTGGATCAACTTCCCAAGGGAAACACAGCCCATGCACCTCACCTGGCTACGGTTTGTTTAAATTGTGGCTTATTGGATGAGCTACAGTCCGTTGGGTTCGAACTCTCTGCATTAAGCGAAAGCAGAACAAGCTTCCTTGAGTTATACAAGCCTGATGACTGTGTTGTGTGAGATGAACTATCATTACTTTTCTAAAATGGCAGCAGAGCGAGAGAGATTTTATTTTATTTTATTTATTTATTTTATTTATTTATTTAATTTTTATCCCGCCCTTCTCCTTACGGACTCAGGGCGGCTGACAGCCTTGTAAAACAGATACAACAATAAAAATACCCAGTTTAAAACCTAATTAAAATGAAATATTTACTGTGGCCTATGTCAATTAAAATTACTCTTAAAACCCCACTAAAAATTCCCCTAGGCCAATCCCGCTTGTTGGA